GAGACCAGCCTGACCAACATGGAGAAACCCCGTCTCTACTAAAAATACAAAATTAGCCGGGCATGGTGGCGCATGCCTGTAATCCCAGCTACTCAGGAAGCTGAGGCAGGAGAATCACTTGAACCTGGGAGGTGGAGGTTGCGGTGAGCTGAGATTGTGCCATTGCACTCCAGCATGGGCAACAAGAGCTAAACTCTGTCTCAAAAAAAAAAAAAAAGCTTTCTCTTTTTGCCACCAGCCTCCCCAGCCACCGCACAATTAGCACAGGAAAAAACGAAAAAGACAAAAATGATACACTCATCATCTCTCCATGCAGAAGCAAGCACTGTGAATATACTGATCATTCTCCCAAACTTTCCCCCGTGGAGATCTTTTCTCCCCTAAGCAATTAAGATCAAACAAATAACAACTATCTCATTAAAATGCTCTTCCTTGTCTGGGCCTGCTGGCTCATACTTGTAATCCCAAGCCTTTGGGAGGCTGAGGTAGGAGGATCACTTGAGCCCAAGAGTTCGAGACCAGCCTGGCCAACATGGCGAAACCCCATCTCTACAAAGAATACAAAATTAGAATACAAAGAATACAAAAATTAGCCAGGCATGGTGGTACGTGCCTGTGGTCTCAGCTGCTCGGGAGGCTGAGGTGGGAGAATCAGTTGAGCCTGGGAGGGTAAGGCTGCAGTGAGCTGTGACTGCACCACTGCACTCCAGCCTGGAGACCAACTGAGACCCTGCCCAAATAAAAATGAAAAAAAAAAAAAATGCTCTTCCTCTGTGCCCAGCACTATGCTAAACATTTCACACAAATTGTCTCATCTTCATGACAATATCTGAGGTAGGAACTATTAGTACCCACATTTTGCAAGTAAGCAAATAAAGGCTTGCACCAGAAATGCAGTGTTCTTAACATCAGCACTGTCTTGCACTACTCGAAATTTTTGGAAACGTCCCTTCCACAGTGGCATTCACATTCCATCGAAGTGGTCTCTGTTGGAACAATCTGAACTTGGAACAAGAGGGAATTTGAAGCTGCCTTCAAGTTCTGCCTATGGTAAATAACACCAAGATGAACATGTCTCTGCACCTGCCTTTGCCAGAGCTGGACTGTGTCCTCGGTCACAGTGGGGCAGACGGGGGCGGTACTCACCGCTGATGACCTCCTGCCGCTTCACCTGGCTCTTGGGCAGGCTATGCAGGGTGTCTGGTGGGACAAGTTCCCGCCAGCCGGGAGGCTCTTCTGGTTCAAGCTCCAGTCCTGACCGCCCCGGCTCCCCCTCATCTCCAGGCTCAGGGCTGTGGACGGAGGCCTTGTTAGGGCCCCAGCTTGGGCCATCCCAGGAAGCAGCCTTCAACCTCTTAGAGCATTCAACCCCGGTCAGTGGCCTTGGCATTCGATGCCCCCAGGGTGGCCCGTGCAGCAGACCAGGTCTCTAGAGCTGACTACACTACAGTCCCCAGATCTCTAGAAGCATTCTACCCCTCCTCCTCCAAGGTCTGTGACCACAGTTGGCCTCAATGACCTCAGCCTCCAACGCCCATTCCTGTGACTCTGATAACAATCCCTCCCTGATTCTCCAGGCTGCCTTAGTGGATGGGGGAAGGGAGAGGGTTGACATACGTGGCTCGTCGGGCAGGGCCAAGCACTGCCGTGGCGGAACTGGGGTCCATGTCCACGTCGCTCCGGGAGCGGCCCCCACCCCGGCCCTTAGCCCCGAGGCTGCCCCGGGAAGGCCGGCGGCGGTCACTCACCCGCAGGCTCTCTGAGCGCCCCAGACGCCCTGATAGCCTGGACCCCGAGGCCAAGGATAGAGTCAGGCAGAGGCCGGGTACAGAGACAAGGAGAGACCAAGACAAGGACAGAGACGAAGAGAAACCAGGACAGGGACAGAGACGGGGAGAGACCAGGGTAGGGACAGAGATGGGGAGAGGCCAGGACAGGGACAGAGATTGGGGAGAGAAGAAGACAGGGACAGAGACAGGAAGAGACCAGGACAGGGAGAGACAAGGAGAGACCAGGACAGGGACAGAGACGGGGAGAGACCAGGACAGGGACAGAGACGGGGAGAGACCAGGACGGGAGCAGGGGTGACCAGGACAGGGATCAAACATGCAACAGAAGAGAGAGGAGAGAGTCAGAGGAGTGGTGGGATTTTAGGGGCGCTGGGGTAGTGGGGGGTGTCGGTGGGGGGATACTGAAATTTGATGGGGGAAGGGATGGGGAACCCAGGATGGAGCGTAGGACTGACCCCCTCCCTTCCCTGAGGCAGGGGGATGGCAACAGAGGGGTGTTTATGGGGTGGGGAGGATTTCCATACTTAGCTCTTCAACTGGGAGGGTGATGTCCCCACCCACCCCTCACAGGGAGTGAAGGGGAGGGAGTGGCCATGGGGAGAGGGGAGGGGCTGGGAGAAATGGGGGAGGGGCTAGCCCTTCCCCCACCCAGGGCCCAGGCACCCACCTCTTCCACCTTCTGGGGAGAGAGGGGCACAGGGTCAGAGGTGGGCCCAGATGGCACCCGACCCACCTCCCCACACCCACCAAAGGGTCCCCAAAGCAGCGGCACAAGGACGGGCAGGGGGCAGAGCCTGCCCCCCAGCTGTAAGGGGGACAGGGCCCCCGGGGCACAGAGCAGAGGGGTGGGGGGTTGAGGGACGGGTACCAGGAGGCAGGAGCGAGGCGTGGTGGGGTGGGGGGGGCTTGAAAGAGAAGGGGAGGAAGGGCTGAAAAAATGGAAAGTGGCAGGGAGATCGGAGGGGGATGGAAAGTGGGGAAAGAAAACCCAGGTGAGAAAGGAGGGGGGAAATAAAGGAGATGGAAGGAGAGGTGGAGAGGAAGGGAGGAGGAGAAAGATCAGTGAAAAAAGGAAGGAGAGGAAGGAGGAGAGGAAAAAGTAAGGATAAAGGAAAGGGGGCAATGAGGAAGCAGGAGGGAGATAAGAAAAGGAAAGAAGAAGGGAGAGGAATGGCGAGACCCAGAGAGCAGCAGAGGAGCAGGCGGAGCGAGAGGCTGGGACAGGCAGGCGCAGATGGCAGCGGCGACCCTGCACCCACCCACCAGTGCCCAGTAAGCCACAGCCCCCACCCCTGCACCCCAGCCTGGGCACCTCTCGGTTTCGGCCCCCTCATCGGTACTCTCTGGGGGCGCCGGGGGCTCCAGGCTCATTGGGCCCTGCGGGGATAAGTCCCCCAGCTCCAGGGGGGCGTCGGCACCTGTGGGGTGGAGGGAGCAGGGCTGGCTGGAAGGCCTCTGAGGCCACGAGACCCACACTCTGGGGGCCTGGAAATGTGGGGGCTAAAGCTACCCAGTGCCTGGCAGACACCACGAGGCTGCAATGTACTTCAGCACCGGACAGAAAGATGTTAAGACCTCTGAGAACACGACCGTGGGCCACTAGGGGCAGGGGCGTGAAGATGCAACAGAAGTGGGTGCCCCTGTGTGTCCTGGGGGGATGGGGACCCCAGGCCTAGCATATAAGTCACAAACATCTCTCCCACCCAACCAGACTGCAGCCCCCTGAGGTCAGGAGGGCCTGAGTTCTGTGCTGCCTCCATGTCCATTCATCCTCCCCACCCTCTCATACTCCTTTAGAGACAAGGAAACGGAGGCTAATAAATGGGAGTCATATCCAAAACACTAAATAAACACGAGGAGTCGGCAGAGCCGGTGTGTGAGCCTGGGCCTGGCCACACAGAGATCCAAGGGCCTGAGGCCACAGAGGTGTAAGGACGGTGAGGGATGAAGCTCATGGGGCTGGTGGGCTTCCCACCTAGGGGGCTATGCAGCTCAGAGGGTAGATTGGTCATGTACTCAGGGAAGGTTCTGGAAAATGAAGGGCTGATGGAAAACATAGTCCAAGGGGGTGGGAGACACGGCACCAGCAGAGAGGTCAGAGCCTGGGAGGAAAGTCGTGGAAAGGGCAAACTGAGGGAAGGGGAAAGTTACGCATGACAGTGGTGACCAGGAGTAGGGAGGAGCAGATGCTAAGAGCAAAGGGGAGGTGTTGCTGAGGAGTGGCTTCCATCTGGGGGTGCCAAGGGGGCAGGCAGCACCCCCACCCTGGATCCCCGGGCCTCACGGAGCCCTGGCCCAGGAAACTCTCACCTGGTTCCCGGTCTGGGCTGTCCAGGGACAGAGGGTGCAGAGAGACTCCAGGGGTGTCCTGCCCAGGAGCCCCAACATTCCGGTCCCGAGAGGGCATCCCCAGGCCTCCCTTCCGGTCTGTAGCACCTGGCTTCTCAGCTGGGGAGACAGTGAGGGAGAAAGAGGGAGATGAGAGAACAGTAACTCAAATCTACAACAACCGGGGGATGCAAGAGGCTGTGCTCAGGCCCTTCCCCACCATGACTAGGAGGCCCTCCTGCCTCAGACCCAGGAGCCCCCATCCCCTCCTCCCTCAGACCCAGGAGTCCCCCATATCCTCTGCCCTCAGACCCAGGAGTCCAGGCCCCCAGCCCCTCCTCCCTCAGACCCAGGAGTCCAGGCCCCCAGCCCCTCCTCCCTCAGACCCAGGAGTCCAGGCCCCCAGCCCCTCCTCCCTCAGACCCAGGAGTCCAGGCCCCCAGCCCCTCCTCCCTCAGAACCAGGGGTCCAGGCCCCAGCCCCTCTTCCCTCAGACCCAGGGGTCTAGGGCCAGCCCTTCCTCCCTCAGACCCAAGAGTCCCAGCCCCCAGCCCCTCCTCCCTCAGACCCAGGGGTCCAGGCCCAATCCTCCTCCCTCAGACCCAGGGGTCCAGGCCCAATCCTCCTCCCTCAGACCCAGGGGTCCAGGCCCCAGGCCTCCCTCCCTCAGACCCAGGAGCTCCCCCAGCCCCTCTTCCCTCAGACTCAGGGGTCCAGGCCCCCAGCCCTTCCTCCCTCAGAACCAGGAGTCTGAGCCCCCAGCCCCTCCTTCCTCAGACCCAGGAACTCCCCCAGCCAAGTGCAGGCCCAGTCCCTCTTCCCTCAGACCCAGGGGTTCAGGACCAGCCTTTCCTCCCTCAGACCCAGGAACTCCCCCAGCCCCTCCTCCCTCAGAGCCAGGGGTCCAGGCCCAGCTCCTCCTCCCTCAGACCCAGGAATCCAGGCCCCAGCCCCCTCCCCCACAGGCCCCAGGGATGGATGCTCTGGCTACAGGTCCATTACCATCAACCTCTGCTTTGAGGTGTCGAAAATCTGGAACTGAAATGAGAGAGAGTGAGACAGTGAGTGGGAAGAACTGGGGAAGACAGGGGAGGGCAGAGGCCAGAGACGCTTTACCCTGGGGCTCTCCCCGGTTCCAGCGGGCGGCATCCAGGATGCTGCTCAGCCCCTTCTTGGTCTTGGCAGGCTCGTCCGACCGCCGGTTCCCCATCACCTGCAAGACGGCGGGGAGGAAGACCAGGCTGAGCATCTCTGAGACAACCAAGCAGAATTTGACGCCAGGTGTATCTCTGAGACAACCAAGCAGAATTTGACGCCAGGTGTCCAGAGTCATGGGGCTCCCAGGGGGTCTCTGGAGAGGAAAGGGTCAGGACAGGGCACTGAGGGAAGCACCTTTTTCCGGAAGAAGTTCCTCCCCGACTTCTTGTCCCCACTCTTGGTCCGCACCCCAAGGTGGCGCATGTACACGCCAATGGCGTTGACCACGGCAGCACTGTAGGGAGGAGACAGTGAGGGCTCAACACACACAAAGACACACACACACACACACACACACACACACACAGCCACTAGAGGCAGAGGCCCGGCCTTCCCATCCTGACCCCACAACTACTTCCCATGAGACTCTGAGGAGAGATGAGAGGGTTCAAAAGGACAGGGGCAAGGGCTGCTACCCAATACCCAGGACCCAGGTGTCCAGGTCCCCAGCCTCCTCCTCCCTCAGACCCAGGAGTCCAGGCCCCCAGTCTCCTCCTCCCTCGGACCCAGGAGTTGAGGACCCCAGCCTCCTCCTCCCTCAGACCCAGGAGTCCAGGGCTCCAGCCTCCTCCTCCTCCCTCAGACCCAGGAGTCGAGGCCCCTAGCCTCCTCCTCCCTCAGACCCAGGAGTCCAGGGCCCCAGCCTCCTCCTCCCTCAGACCCAGGAGCCCAGGCCCCCAGCCTCCTCCTCCCTCAGACCCAGGAGCCCAGGCCCCCAGCCTCCTCCTCCCTCGGACCCAGGAGTCGAGGACCCCAGCCTCCTCCTCCCTCAGACCCAGGAGTCCAGGCCCCAGGCCCTCCTCCCTCAGACCCAGAAGTCCAAGTCCCCAGCCCTCTCCTCCCATAGACCCAGGAATCCAGACCCCCAGCCCCCTCCTCCTTCAAACCCAGGAGGCTGCACACCTCTCCCTGCCGCCCTCCCTGCCCCCCTCACCTCTTTTCTTCATCGGTAGAGATGGTATGTCTGTAGGAGGAAGAGAGATGTTTGTGACATATTTGCTAGGTCTGGGGTCCCCGTCCACCCAGGACACATCTCAGGGTTGCTGTCCTGGGATAGGCAGGGGGAAGAGAGACAGAGAGGGGACACTGCGGAAGGGATCGGGAAGGACCGTCAGAAGAGGGAGGGAGGTCTCTCATCCAGGAGGACGGGATCCAAGTGCCAGATCATGGACAAGACCCAGAAATGACAAGGGAACCCCAAAGTTGGAAAGGGAAGACTCAGATCCAAGGTGAGTTAAAACGCCAGGGCAGAGGAAGAGCCCCAGTGCCAAGAAATGAACCCTGACGCTGAAGAGGGAACCCGCAAACGGGATGGAACATGCCAGAGGTAGCAGGGGTGCCCCGGCGCTAGGGAGGGGCAACGCTCCCACCAGGGCTGGCCCACTCACTGCATCTCCTCCAGGTGCATGAGCAGTCGCTCCGCCACGTGCCGCTCCCGGGCCTCGTAGCTGGCTCGGTCTCGCCCAACCCAAGCCTCCAGCTGGGCCAGCTCCTGCTCCCAGGGCGTCATGCCCATGAGCCGCTTGGAGCGGAAGTCCTCCAGCTGCCGGCCCACGGCTGTCTGCTGGCTTTGCACCACCTCCTGCACGAACCGCCGCTGGACATCCTCAGAGATGAGGTCAGCCCGAGTGCGGTCTGCAGGGACACACATGGGGGCTAGGGTCCACTTCCTGGTGGCTTGGACCACGGCCCCCACCCACCTTTGGCTCCAACAGCCACTCTTCCTGAGGCCGCTGCCAGTAAGGAATGAATGAATCTCGGCTGTCCGAGCAGAGCGTGGGAGTGCGGCCTCCCTCCCCTTAGCCTCTTGGGAGGTGTAGTCCCTGCTAGACACCTCTCCCCCATCCCATCCTTCTCCTTACCAAGTTCAAAGGCGACATTGGGAGGGACTGGCACCCGCAGAACCTGCTCAAGAGAGAGAATGGGGTGAAGAGGAGGACTTGGTGTGCTGAGATGCAGGCCGGGAGGACTGCCAGGAACCCTGACATAAGTGAGGGTGCTGGGGAAGGCCTGGGTCAGCAGCTGCCCTCAGGGCAGAGGTTGGGGACCTCATGGTGACTCTGCAGGCCCAAAAAGGGATTGCGGGGTTGGGGCAGCTTGAAGATCTCTCACCGCTGTCTTCTCCAGGAAGCTGTGATAGAAGTCCAGGAAGGCCTTCTTGGCCTCCTTGGGGCCCAGTGAGCCCAGCATGTCGGCATGCAGACAGCAAAGCTGGGGGAGACACACAGTGTGACTCTCCGCTCCCCCACCCCGCCTCAAACCACAGTCTCCCTTTGAAGAGGGCCTTCCCCGCCTCCTGACCACCCCATGGTTAAGGGACTCAACTGCCACCTCCTCCGGGAAAAACTCCCTGACCTCCACCCCTAACACCAGGCCCTGGGTTCCCCTGCAGGCTCCCTGGGGCCGCCATTCACATTTTCTAATTTTCCATCCTGTGCCGTGGTCCTTTGTGGTTCTTCATCATGGTCTCCTCCTGGCAATAATGATACCTACTACTACTGTCTATACTGAGGGCTTACTGTATACCAGACGCTGCTCTACACCCTCTACGTGCATTAACATGTTCAAGTGTAGGGACCGTGAGTATCCCCATTTTACAGATGAGAAAACGGAGCTCGACAAGTTTATTCAAGCTTAGTGACACAGCTAGGCCGGGCATGGTGGCTCACACCTGCAATCCCAGCACTTTGGGAGGCCGAGGCAGGTGGCTCACATGAGGTCAGGAATTTGTGACCAGCCTGGCCAACACGGCAAAACCCTGTCTTTTTTATTTTTAGTAAAATAAAACAATTAAAAAATTAGCCACGTGTGGTGGTGGGCACCTGTAATCCCAGCTGCTTGGGAGGCTGAGGCAGGGAGAACTGCTTGAACCCAGGAGATGGAGGTTGCAGTGAGGGGAGATTGTACCACTGCACTCCAGCCTGGGTGACAGAGCGAGACTGTTTCAAAAATAAATAAATAAATAAAACCCAAAATCACACAGTTACTAAGTGGCAAAGCTAGGATTCGAATCCAGGCAGCCTGTCTCCACTACACTCTGCTGCCTAGAAAGACTGAGCAGCTCAAGGGTTTGTGTGTGTTGAGGGGTGTTGTAGGTTGATCCATCTGTGTCCCAGATGGTGCCCTGTGCCTACTGAGGGCTTGTAAAGAACAGGTGGACAAGCGGGGCTCACTGTGTCATTCGTCACGCATTTCCTGAGTGCCAGCCCCTGTGCTGGGTGACAGTGGGGACTCCAGCCTGCCCTGGCTCCTGGGCGCTCTCATCTGGGAAATGGACTCACTCCAATGGGAGTGGGACTTTTTCTCCTTTTTCTTTTTTGAGATGGAGTCTGGCTGTGTCACCCAGGCTGGAGTGTAGTGGCGCGATCTCGGCTCACTGCAAGCTCCTCCTGGGTTCAAGCAATTCTCCTGCCTCAGCCTCTGGAGTAGCTTGGATTACAGGTGCCTACCACCATGCCTGGCTAATTTTTTTTTTTTTTTCGCCTAGGCTGGAGTGCAGTGGTGCAATCTTGGTTCATCGCACCTCTACCTCCCAAGATCAAGTGATTCTCCTGCCTCAGCCTCCCGAGTAGCTGGGATTACAGGCGCGTACCACTGTGTGCCCGGCTAATTTTCGTATTTTAGTAGAGATGGGATTTCACCATGAGGCTGGTTTTGAACTCCTGATGTCAGGTGATCCACCTGCCTCGGCCTCCCAAAGTGCTGGGATTATAGGCGTGAGCCACCGCGCCTGCCCCATTTTCATATTTTTAGTAGAGACAGGGTTTTACCATGTTGGCCAGGCTGGTCTTGAACTCCTGATCTCAAGTGATCTACCCACCTCGGCCTCCCAAAGTTCTGGGATTACAGGCATGAGCCACCGTGCCCGGCCCCACCTTTTATTTATTTACTTCAAGACAGGGTCTCACTCTGTTGCCCAGGCTGGAGTGCAGTGGTGCAGTCACTGCAGCCTCGACCTCCCAGGCTCACGCCATCCTCCTGCCTCAGCCTCCCAAAGCGTTGGGACTACAGTCATGAACCACCAGGCCTGGTCCTCCTTCTCCACTTTAAACAGTTTTAACAAATCTATATCTACTCTCCACATCCCCCAAATATAGCAAAATTCTAAGAGAGGCCAACAGGAAGCTGCCCAGGGGACCACAGCTATCTCTGATCGGCTCTCCACAAGCTGATGAGGTGAGGGAGCTGTGTGAGGATAAACCTCAAAATGCCCAGAGGCTGCCGGGGTAACCTCAGGCAAGTCCCTGACCCTCTCTAGGCCTCAGTTTCCACATCTGTAAAAGAACATGGTAGCACGATCCCTGGGCTGATGTCCATGATCTGGTGGTCTAGAAACCCCAAGGCTTGAATGGGGGACCCCCTTGCTCAGAGGGCCAGAGTCTCCATGCCTGTGGTTGTGCGGGCAGCCACTCTTCTGGAAAGAGAATGCAGACGGGGGAAAGACTGCAATTTCCTAAATTTCTGCATATCTGATGCTTTGGTGTCAGGATGACCAGCCTCTGGTCTTGCAGCTGATGTATTCTTCTTTCCGCATGCCTTGGGCGCTTCTCCCCACTCTATCGATTTTCTCGTTTTCTGGAGGGGTCTACTACGCATGTCCACATGGTGCAGTGCCCTGGCTGTCCCCAACTCCTATGCTGTGCTGGGCTGGACCGGGTCTTCTTGGGACGAGACCCTTGTCTACAGATCCACCGCCAGCCAGCACTGTGGCCTCTCCCTTTCTAAATCACCTGCTGGTTTTTCTAGACTCTGCAGGTGTTTCTGGATGGCACGGTTGTCCATCCACACCTCCCAGGTATCTTCTGCCTCATACGGAGGCTTCTGGATCCACAATTTTGTGGTCTCCTTTGTGAGCTGTGTGTGGTAGTTTTCTTGTTTCTGGATCAGGGCCTGCTGTGCCCCCTACACCTGGGATGGCTAACAGCCTTCTCTCAAGCACCAACCCTGAATGACTGCATGCTGGCATCTGCCGAGAAGGCTTTGGAGAGAAGGATTTGGTACCCCAGAGTCCACGGAAGGGCGCTGCCACAGGCTGATGGGGAGCGCTGCCACAGGCACAAAGTGGGACGGGATGTGCCAGGCTGCTGGACTCCCTGTGGCTCTGCGGGGTCCTGCCGTGTGTACCCTGCCCGCTGTGCACTGAGATCTACCCTGGGCACCTGTAAGCCTGTTGAGGTCACGTGGCGTGCTTTCTGGCTCTTGTCTAAGGCATTCTCTCTTTCTAGATTTGGCACTGTTTTCTAGATCTGCTTTTCTAGACCCTCCCAGCACTAGCTCACTGGTTTAATTCGCCAAAAGCTGTGCCTGTCCCAGCCCCACCCCTCCCTGTGCCCACCCAGCCCTGCCCTCACCAGGGGTCCTGGCTCAAACTGCAGGGCCACGTGCTGCAGGAGGGCCATGAGGTGGGCTGGGCGCCGCTTCACCTGCTCCAGGCTCTGGAACTGGCTGTTTTGCTCTTCTGAGTTCTGGGGGTTCAGGCAGGGGTGAGTACAATGGGGAGAAGAGGAGGGGCCTTGGGGTTGACCCTACCCATTCCTGATACTTCACAAGGGATCCAAGTCAGGGTTAGCTCCTGGGAAGTGGGGAGTGGTGACAGTGTCCATGAAATAATGATGACAGCAAGGGCAGGTGGTCAGGGAGAATGGATGAGACTTAATATTATAATGGTGGATGATGAGGACAGAAATTAGGAGAGAAGAAATTGGGGTCCCTGCTGGGAGAGGAGAGAGCAATGATAAGAAATGGGGTTAAGAGTAAGAAGGGTGGGCGTCCATGCTGCTGTGTGGGCTCTGAGTATGGGGTCGACGAGGTGAGGAGGGAGGTACCACAGAGATGAGAGGATGGGACAGACCGTGGGAAGAGGCCGAGAAGACACATCTACAGGTGGGAGGGGACCCGGGGCGGGATGCTGAGCCTGGGACAGAGCTTTTCCACCCTATCTACCACTCACCGTCTCCAGCTCGTTCTCAAAATCCTCATCCTCTGCCCCGATGATGCTGACGGGAACCAGGCCAGGCCGGGAGGGGCCTGGGGAGGCCTGTGGAAGGGGAGGGCGGCTTCAGTCCACAGAACTCCCCACCCACAGCCCCAGAGTCCCCTCACCCCTTGCTCTGTCCACTCACCGCCCCTCGGGCAACGTCTTCCATCTCCCTGGGCTCTGCAGGGCTGGGGGAAGAGGAGGGGCTGCGGTTAGGAGGGTGGGAGGTGGCGGCCCAGGGTGGTTACTCACAGATTCCTGGCCCAGGTGTGAAGGTGAGTAAACAGCCTCCCCCATCCCGGCCTCCGCAGCTCAATGGGGCCTCTGTGTGGCCACAAAGAGCCCTTCAGAGACCCGCCAGGGGGCGGGAGCCCAAGGACGGGAGCCTTGCGGGGGCAGGCATTGGAGGCTCAGGAGCCTGGGTCCATGGGAAGGCTGAGTCTGAGAGCCTGCAATGTGGAGTCCCTAACGCTCTCATGGAAGAGGGGGCTGGGGGACTGGACTCCCAGGTTGGAGGGATCAGAGGCCTGGGGGCTAATTCCTGAGAGCACAGCCTAGAGGCAAGCTGGGATGGGAGCGTTAGAGGAGAGGCGGGAGAGAAGTGGGGTGCAGGGGTCTCCTCTGGTCTGTGACAGGCCTGGGGCAGGATGTTGCTTGGAACCCACCAGCCCCACTTCCTGTGACAGGAAGTCACAATGACAAACCCCCAACCCCCAACTCTCCACATAAGAAAACAAAACTCAGAACCCTCCTCCCTCAGGGACCAGGAGTCCCCAAATCCAGTTCTTCTTTCCCCCAGGGACCTCATCTCTTCCCAGGCTTCCAGTCCTGGAAAATAAGTGATGGGACCTCAGACAGCCCATCTCCAAGGTGCGTCTGTCTCCTCCACCCTACGTGCACCTTGGTCTGTCTGCAGCCGGCTCTCCTTGGCTGTCTGTCCCTCGAATCTGTCTCATGTCTTGGTCTCTCTTCACCCTGTTTCCTGATTTTTCTCTCTGCCTTCCTCCAGAACTGTCTCATTTTCCCCACCGTCCCTGCCTCCCCTCCTTCCATCTGTCCTTCTCAGAGGTGACACCCCCTTCCTGCTTCTGTAGCTCTGTCTGTCCTGTCCCTGTCTCTGTGCCTCTGTCCTCCCGCATCTGGTTTCTGCAGCCACCATCCTCACACCTCTCCGAGTCACGGTCTCAAGTGCTGTCTCTCATCTCTCTCCATCCCTTTTTCTCCCCCATCTCTTGCTGTCTTTCCCATCTTTGTCTCTCCTTGAGTCTCCACTTCTCTCTGAGTCTTTCCACCGACATCTTCTGTGTCCTTAATTAGTCTGACTAATGCCACGGAGCCCGTGTCAGGCGGGAAGGAGCTGTGGAAAGAGGGGTGGGGTGGACCAGTGGGGGGGGGCCTCCCCACAGCCCAAAGCTATTTATAACCCTAGCTGGCAGAGACCCGCCCTTCTCCTGCTTTATGGGCCTCCTCCCTAGCTCCCCAGTAAATGGTAACCAGGATTTTGATGATTAAACAATGATGCTTTCTGGAGTGTCCAAATGCCACCTTGAGGGTCCACCTGGGGAAGGCATCATTTTTATTCTTTCCCATAAAGAGTATTTGTCCAATATCTAAGCTCGGACAATTCAAGATTCAAGCACTGCTAAACATTCACTTTAATAAATTTGCAAACTGGCCAGGCGAGGTGGTTCATGCCGGTAACCCCAGCACTTTGGGAGGCCAAGGTGGGAAGATCACTTGAGCTCAGGAGTTCGAGACCAGCCTGGGCAACACAGTGAGACCCTGTCTCACTATGAAACATGACCACGGACGTGGAGGGTGCATGCTCATCCCACTCACAGGCAGAAATGCTCAACTGAGGCAGGGAGATTAAAAAAAGGCAAAGGAGGCTGGGCGCGGTGGCTCACGCCTGTAATCCCAGCACTTTGGGAGGCTGAGGTGGGCGGATCACGAGGTCAGGAGATCAAAACCATCCTGGCTAACATGGTGAAACCCCGTCTCTACTAAAAAAAATACAAAAAATTAGCTGGGCATAGTGGCGGGTGCCTGTAGTCCCAGCTACTTGGGAGGCTGAGGCAGGAGAATGGCGTGAACCCGGGAGGCGGAGCTTGCAGTGAGCACAGACCATGCGCCACTGCACTCCAGCCTGGGTGACACAGCAAGACTTGGTCTCAAAAACAAAACAAAACAAAACAAAACAAAACAAAACAAAACAAAAGGCAAAGGAGGGGATGCTCATTATCTCTGCAAGTGCTCGGTGCCAGGTCTGGAACTGTGTGCTTGCCAAGTTCTTATCTCCTTATTCCTTTTTTTTTTTTTTTTGAGACGGAGTCTCGCTCTGTCCCCCAGGCTGGAGTGCAGTGGTGGCTGGATCTCAGCTCACTGCAAGCTCCGCCTCCCGGGTTCACGCCATTCTCCTGCCTCAGCCTCCCGAATAGCTGGGACTACAGACGCCCGCCACCTCGCCCGGCTAGTTTTTTGTATTTTTTTTTTTTTAGTAGAGACGGGGTTTCACCTTGTCAGCCAGGACGGTTTCAATCTCCTGACCTCGTAATCCGCCCGTCTTGGCCTCCCAAAGTGCTGGGATTACAGGCTTGAGCCACCGGGCCCGGCCTCTTTATTCCTTATCACAATGATAACGAAATGATAGCTGACACATAAGAGACACTTAGTAAGTGCCAGGCATGGCATCGCTGGTTTACAGGTAATAACTCATTTAATCCTCTCAGTGACTCCAAGAGATTATTATTATTCTCACCTCCATTTAGCAAAGAAGGAAACTGAGGCACAGCTCATATGAAGCAGAACCAGGACTCAGACCTAGGCAATTGGGCTACAGAGTTTATGCATTTAAAATAAACTGCATTTGGTGGGCCCAGTAGCTCACATCTGTAATCCCAGCAGTTTGGAAGACCAAGGCAGGTGGATCACTTGAGCTCAGGAGTTCGAAACCAGTCTGGCTAATATGGTGAAACCCCGTCTCTACAAAAGATAGCCAGGTGTGGTGGCTCATGCCTGTAGTCCCAGCTACTTGGGAGGCTAAGGTGAGAGGATCGCTTGAGCCCAGGAGGCAGACGTTGCAGTGAGCCAAGATTGTGCTACTGCCCTCCACCCTGGGCAACAGAGTGAGACTTTGTCTTAAAATAAAACAGGCCGGGCGTGGTGGCTCTCGCCTGTAATCCCAGCACTTTGGGAGACCGAAGCAGGCGGATCACGAAGTCAAGAGATCAACACCATCCTGGCCAACACAGTGAAACCCTGTCTCTACTAAAAATACAAAAATTAGCTGGGCATGGTGGCGCGAGGCTGTAGTCCCAGCTACTCGGGAGGCTGAGGCAGGAGAATCGCTTGAACCCGGGAGGCGGAGCTTGCAGTGAGCTGAGATCGCGCCACTGCACTCCAGCCTGGTGACAGAAGTGAGACTTCGTCTCAATGAATAAATAAAATAAGACAAAATGAAACAAAACAGAGGGCATTGCTTCAGAGCATGGGGAGCCCCCACCCTACCCTTCACAAACTAAAATGTGAATCAAAGCTCTGAGACACATCACATCTTCTTATGGATGCCTGGAAAAGCCACGGGTATGTGGTCACTGTGGCCTAGGCAGGAGTGCAAGTTGCATACGGCTGCTCCACAGAGGCCTGGGGGCTGGAGATGATGGAGGCGAGGAGTGTTGCTTGTTTAGGACGAGGGGTTGGGGGGGGGTCCCACAAAGGCTGGAGAATTATAGGTGAAGCTGTCAGAGAATAGATGGATCTCTACAGGCAACTGACAAGGCCTGGGGGTGGGGGGTGGCGGGTCCAGCAGAGGGAGCACTACGTGCATTGGGCGCTGGGGGGTTAGGACTGGTTTAGAAGGTCCCTGGGTTGGGGGGCTACATGGGTGCTTGAGTTCTATGGAGGACTCAGGGTCTATAAGGTATTGAGCAGGTGACTCGGGGTCTCCAAGAACTTCTGGGAACCTTAAAGAACCTAAAAGGAGTCATTGGAATGTGTAACTCCCCAGATTCTATTTGACACACAGTGGGTCTAAAGGATCCAGGGATCATACAGGATCATGATTCTATAGGGACAGCTGCCAGTCTGTGGAACCTCCGGAGACTTAAAAGGGGCTCAAAATTCCATAGGGGTGCGTGGTGGGTCCCGAGACCCATGGTCTGTAGAGCCCCGGATTCCAGGGGATGCGCCTTATCTATGAGGACCCCACGTCTATGAGAAACCAGTTATCCATGTGGGGCTGGCAGGAACCTGGAGGGTCTGAAAGACTTTGTAATCTATACGGAATGTGGCTGGTCTACACGAGCCCCAAATCTTACATGGACGTGGCCGGTCTTACGCGGGCCCTAAATCCTACGGGGGACGTGGCAGTGTGCACGGCTAGGGATGCTGGGGAGGACGTGCAGAGTCAGGGTCTGACGCCCGCTGGGGACCGCGTCCCTCACCTGCTCCAGGTGGAAAGAAAAGCCACCACCGCCACCGGAACCGAAGCCTCCGCGCGCCGGCTCCGCACTCTCCCCACCCCTGCCGCCGCGTCGCTCTAGCCGCCCTGAGTCCACCTTTGCGCCCAGCTCCACTCCTCCTGCCAGCCGCTCTAGCCCGGCTCCTGCCAGGCTCCGGCCCCGACGACTCTACTCCTCCCGCCGGCCGCTCTAGCGCTGCATTGCGCCACGCAGGCCAGATAGGGCCGCTCTGGCCTGTCTTGGAGGGCCGGCGTTTCCGTATCTTTACTGCCCCCGTCACTCCCCGGGCCCCGCCCCGCGCCCGGAGGTGCAGATGGGTGCAACTCCTCCCGAGTTCGATCCGAGATCTCCGAGTCACCCCGGCGCTGAGCACTCGGACCGCGGATTGGGGCTCCCCGTCCTATTAGTCTCCCCACTTAGGGGACCCGCTGAATTTCCAACGCTCGTACATCAATCCCCTCCGTCCCCCACCCCACCCCCCTTCCTTTGGAACTGGAAAAGCAAAAGTCTTGAGTTCCAGTACATCTTTCCCTCTGACATGCAGTGTAATCTGCAAAAAGTAATGACTTCTCTGCAGGCCTCAGTCTTCCCATCTGTACAATGGGAGAAGGCCTCCAGCTCTCTCCCTACACTTGTCTCCCACGGTATAATTAATGACCTAGAAAAGAGCTTTCCTAAAACTCTTTCAAATGCACTCTGCAACTTTCAGCTTCACAGCGGCCCTCGTCGCTGTTATTGTTGTTTTTCTTTTTTAGGTGGCCCTAAAGCATGCGGAGGTTGGAGGATGGCGCTTTGCGGAAAGCACGTGCGAGTTCAAATCCCAACTCCACACTGTCTCATGATGTGCGTTCCCTGGGACGAGTCGGTTTGGCTCCCCGGGCCTCGGTTTCCCCACCCGTACAATGGGAGTGATCGTCTGCCCTCCACTGAGCAGGTGGGAGGCCTTGGCCCCGGCCTCGCACCGTTCGTCCCCACCTACGGGGTACTCGTCAAGTGTGAGTTCTCCCCTCTTTGCTCCCTTTAACAGATGGGAAAACTGAGGCCCGAGGAGGTGCGGCCGCTGGCTCCGTGGGGTCCGAAGGAGGCCCCTCCGCTGGCAGCAGCGCCCCAGCCCCTCCCTCCTCCTCCCCACTTCTCCCAGCAGCCGAGGGGAGGAAGCCGGGCGGGGC